CACATAGGCTGCCTGATCTGCAACTTCCTGGTGTGCTGCGGTGGGCGGGAACACCTAGCCGGTGCAATTCGATCAGGCTGTGGCTGACAGGCAGGGAAGCTGGGCCTCCTATATAAGCTTGCATATATAAGGAACAAAGAATATGGGAAGAGGCAGCAACAAGAAAGGCTCCTCGGCCCCCAATCCTGAGAAACAGGTAATAGCGGACACCGCACCAATAGACATAAAGCGCCATCTAGAGAGCCTCATAGATCAGTTCAGGAATGAAGTTATCAATGACCTGAAGCTAGAAGTAAGCAGAATAGTTAGAGAAATGCTAAGCACCACCCAAGAAAAAACAGATGGTGGAATGGAAGAACAGAAAAAGAGGGGAGAATTGTTTGATGGAGAAAATAGAGAAAGCATAGAATACGTGAAGCAGGTTCAAAGGGACTACCAGGAAACTAAAAAGTCTATCGAAAACTGGCATAACAGCTTGAAAGAAACTAAGGACAGACTATCTGAACTGGAGGGCAGATTTGTAATATGGGAGAATGAAATGAAAAACTTCTTAAAAGTAACAAAGAAACAAACAGCAATAATACAAAGACAAGAAGATGATAAGAGGATCCATAACTTAAGAATTAAGAACATAAAAGAAGAAGTAGGGACACAAACAAATGAACTACAAAAGCTACTCACAGAAATAATCCAGGAGAATTTTCCTAATTTAGCAAAAGGTAAAGATACTCAGATGTATGAGGCATACAGGACCCCAGCCCCCTACAACCCAAACAGAGCAACACCCAGGCATATAATAATAAAAATTCCAGAAATTCAATACAAGAACAGAATATTAAAAGCTGTCAGAGACAAGAAACAGACCACTTACAAGGGAGCACCCATCAGAATTACAGCAGATTTCTCTGCACAAACCACAAATCACGAAGAGCGTGGGGGGAAATAATTCAAGCTTTGAAAGATAATAATCTCCAGCCAAGATTGAGATATCCTGCACAACTGTCCCTGGAAATTGATGGAAAAACAAGGTGCTTCCAGGATAAAGAGGAACTGGGGGAATTTGCAACCACCAGTTCAACTCTTCAGAGAGTATTGCAGGATATTCTAAAAAAGAAAAATACAAAGAATCCAGAAATAGTGGCGGGGAGGCCACAATGAATGGAGCAGAGAACAAAATGAAGAAGACAAACTGACAACTAATGACAGAAAAAGAGCTCAACAGAAATGAGGCAGAGAAGATTGGATGATAGGAACAGCTATTTTGGAGAAAATGACATCTTAATAGGTAATACTGATTTAGTATCATCTTGTTTTAAAGTCTCATCAAACTTTTGTTCTTCTGTCTCCATTGGTCTAAACAGGTCGTATCTTATTGGATTTTATTATGTACGATAGTATAACCAAAAACTTTTAAAGACAAGGAGATTATACAGAAACCATTGTTCATTTTCTGTTAGTTGATTCTAAATACCCTGTAATGCTGTTATTCTCTTAAATGGTTTTACATTGTTTTGATATATTTAATGCTACAATATACGAAGTTGTACTCAAGGATTTCAAGAAAAGAGACAATATGGTAACTACTTTTATGTCAGGATTATCTTGTGGTGAAACACTATTCTGCTTAAATGGTTACGTTTTGATCTGTGCTGTTTTGCTGTTATGCCCTCTTTTATCTCAACCTCCACTCTATTATTTACTTTTTTATTTTTATCCTTTTAATTAAGGGAAAAATAAATAAAAATAGCAGGATTATTATAGCAATCCACTTTCACTTTCCATTATCTTGATTTAAAGCCCTGTATTACTCTCACCATCTTGTTTTTGACTGATGTCCCCCTATTCTGCTTTGCTTGATAGTACCAGGTTCGAAAGTTTAGGCAACAGCTGTGAAGATAGTGAAATTCATTATGACGCCCATTCTCGATGACTTTTATCTACTTTTGAAGACCTACAATGTCTCCAATGTTTTGGTTTTGTTGGTTTTGTTCTTTACTGTTTTGTTCAATTTTATTATAACTGATGATATAGGCAATTCTATTAGAGATAGCGGGAGGCATTATGGTAACCATTATTGATCACCTTGTATTATGCTTTTACATTATCTATTATGTCCACTCTTTTGATTTGATTGACTCTGTTCTGTTATGTCACATTTGGTTGTACTCCCTTCCAAAAAAGTAATAAGAACTGTGGGAGTAACAAAACCCAAAATGTGTAATAGTCATTGTACAAAAGAGAGGAAAAGAAAGTGCTCTAAATGATATAACTGCATGTATGTTTAAGTGTTGTCGATGTCGCTCCCGGCCGGCAGGAAGGACACGACAAAGTCTGGCAGTGGACAACCTTTTCTTTTATTTTCTCTCCGTACAGCCTGCCCTGGGATCGCTCCCAGCCGAAGCCTCCTCTGGTCCGCTCCCCGCGGCTCCTTCCGTGCTTCGCTCCGAAGCCTCTACCGGTCCGCTCTCCGCGGCTCCTTCCGGGCTTCGCTCCGAAGCCTCTACCGGTCCGCTCTCCGCGGCTCCTTCCGGGCTTCTACTTCCCCCCAGGGGTGGCACCAGTATATATACGGATACAGTGTCCAATCATATTAAAGTAAGCAAGGCAAGCTGATTGGCTAACATATTATTGAGCGGGTTGTTTACGCGGTAAGCAGGAAACTAACGTGCTCGATGGGAGGGGTAATCTAACTCAGGCTTTACTCTTTACCACAGGCCGCATGGTCGCTATATGCGGCGGCTCGGCAATGTGGTGGCTCCCAACAAAGTGTATAAGATAGAAAATGATATCATTGAGTTTTATTGGATCATTGAACAGAACTGTTTGCAGTCTCACTGTTGGAATGTCCACTTTACAAGCTTTAACTTTGTGACTTGAACAATTATTTCTAAGATGACAATATGTAATCCATTAACTAGTGATTTCCTACTGTTTATTTTTTTCTGTAAATCTGTATAACTTGTACCCTTTCTCTGCTTTTTTTTCTCCTTAAATAAAATTTAAAAACAAAACAAAACAAACAAAAAACCCCCAAAAAACAATATTACATCCCACTTTTTCAGATGGGGAAGTGAGGCTCAAAATGCTTGTTATTTTTCTATGATTTTGAAGTGGGACCGTGACACAGGATTTAAATCTAGTTATCCTGACCGTAGAAATTACTGTCTAAGCAGGATTTGGGTTGGCTATCAGCGGTGTGTGTGAGCTTATCATCACAGATACATCACAAATATAAGTAAGTGATTTCTTCAATGCTCCTGTTACAGTCCTAAATACAAAGAACTGAGAATGTGTTACATAAGACATAGTCATAAAATTCTGTCTTTGCCCAGAATGAGGCTATTATATAGAGACAGAAATGATAATAATTGTGGGGCTTTTTTTAATAGTAATTGTTAATGTGAAGGTTTTTGGTGCCTTTAGAAGTAATTTTTTTGCACAGAAAACACTATTTAAAGATATTTTTATAATATTAGATTTATTAAAGTTATAAACTCTTAATAGCAAATGGTTATTCCAATAGCCTAAATTCTCGTAAAAGTTGCATACACATAGAACTTCAAATATTCCCAGATTCCTTGCAATGAAATTTTCATACTATAGACTTAAATCTTATAAATATTGCATACTTAATTCTCAGTCTTTTCAGGGTTAAAATGTTCATAGAATAAGAAATATATATATATATATTTTTTTTAAGAACCAGTTTTCATGGTGATTCTACATTAGAGCCAAGATTTTATCTACCTCCACTGATAGCAAAACAAAAATGACACTACCTAAAAATAGTGGTTGTCGCATCAGTCCCCTGGATTGAGTCTGCAAAGTATAATTCTTAAGTCAGAAAAATGACCCAGTTGCTACACTGCTGGATTGGATCATAGGCAGTCTTTATATTCTGAATTTTCTCCCCTATTTCTCCTTTCTGTCAGGGCCATAATTCTAACAGATACTTATATAACCTGTGGTCTCACCAGGACTGTTTGCTACTCTGCACACAGATGTGAAGTTGTGGCTTACTGTAACTTCGTGAAAGTTTTATGCTTGAGGAAATCTCAGGAACTCAGACATATGCTGCATTTTGTTTTGCAATCAATATTTTGGGAAGTATAGGGGCAAGAACTGGAAGAATTTTATTATTTTAAATTTTATTTTACTTTTTGTTATGATAGTTACATTCATTGCACGTAAGCATTATGACTTTGGTGCAATTTTAGGAAAATTAAATACTAGTGATTTAGGATTCAGAGACACAAATCTAGTATCCAAGATTTTAAAAAAAATATATTTTTAGACCCCTTGCTACGAAATCAAGGTGTGGAATACCAACGTGTAATATTCAAGTGGGCCTAGAATGGCCCCACATGGTTATCCGCAGCAAGTATTGAATAACAAACTGGACTTGTGTCTATCGGGGATATTCAAGCTTGGAAATAAAACATTGGCTACATTCATTTTTTTGTCATTTTAGTAAGCTCTCTCTTGTGCTTTGCTTCCGTGCAAACAGGTGGATGAGACCCAGCCCAAGACAGCATTTGGGAAATGCTTTACTGACTTAGGTCCTTTGGCAGGTCTCGAAGCTACGCCCTTAGATGTCTTACTAAAATATAGAGGTTGCGAAAGATGTCACTATCAACAGCCTGCCGTTCTTGCTCATCACGTATCCCCTAATGCCCTCCCCAACCAGCCATTCAGTAAAGCAGAGACGGCGTTCAAGCGGCGATTCCGAAGGATGTGGTTCGCACACCTTCGGCGGCATGGTCCGGGCGATGGCGGTGCTTCCTCTTTCGGGGCAGGGTGGTGGCCGAGCCCTACTCCGCAAGGCCGGTGGGCGGGGCGGGGCGCGGCGGGCCGGCCGGCGGCGGAAGCGGGAGGCCGGGCGCCCCCGCGGGGACTGCGGGCTGTGCGCGCGGGCGCGGGCCGCCAACAGGCGCGGGGAGCGCGGCGCTGCGCTCGCTCGGGTGCGCTCCTGGGCGCTCGCCACCGCCACCGCCGCCGCCGCCGCCGCCGCGCCTGAGTCAGCAGAGCCCGCCGCCTGCCCGCCGCCGGCCCGCCGGCCTCGGTGCTCTGTCCGGCCCGCGGAGCTGCCGGTAAGGGGCCGGGCACCGCCGGGGACACCTCCCCGGCGCCGGGGTGCGCTCTGCGGCCGGAGGCGAGCCGTGCGCCCCTTCTTTCCTTCCTTTCCTCCCTTCTGTCCTTCCTTCCTTCTCCGCCCGCAGGTGCCGCCGACCCCTGTGGGCTCCCAGGGCTGGAGGTTGGGCCCCCGGGACCCGAGCCGACCAGCCGCGCGCTCCCCCGGCGCGCTGTGCCGGGGAGGAAGAGTGAACGGTCGGCTCGTTTCCTTCGGTGGGAGCGGAGCCCCGGGAGAGGGTGGGGCCGAGGCGGAATCTCGGATTGCTGAAAAAGTGCTGTGACACCTTCCCCAGGCCGGATTTTGAGCTTATTTTTTGTTGTTATTTTGTTTCGTTTTGTTTGGGAAAGAAAAATGAAAGGTAGTTTTGAGTTTAGGAACTGGGATGGGTAGACAAGGTTTTTTTTCCGGGGGGATTGTGGGATTGAATGAAAGGCCGGAGAGAAAAATCCACCGTCAGGTTCAGGGGTGGGGTGGAGAGGGGGGTGGGGACAGCAGCCTGATTTTCAGTTTTTGGGTAGATCGTACTTTTCTAAAATTACACAGATTACTGAAGCGATGGCCACAGAATGTGGAGCAGTGTGTCGCTGCTGTTTCAGCCAGGCACATTTATATGGAAGAATAATGGAATTTAGAAATTGAGAGCAGGAAGGAGGTTTTTCACGTGATCTCCCTCAATCCTTTCATTTCGGAGACAGGGAAGCTAAGGTGTGGGTGGGAAATGCCATGCTCGGGGCCAAGCAGGTGCACAGACCTGGTGGCCGCTGACTCCCAGTCCAGCGTTCTGTGCCCCAGCAAGGACTGAGGGGAAGGGTTTGGAATGAGTGAGGCCCCTTTTCCGAGTGGGCTGGTTGGGCATGGTAGAGGGGACCATTGAGATCAGGGCCTCCTCCAATCATTGATCCATCCCTTATGGGGGCATGTCAGTAGGGAAATGAAGGTGAGGTTGGGGGGGTCTATCATCACTTCTGGTGATGTCTGCTTCCCTGGGAGAGAAACCCTTGGGCATTTGATCAGTGTTAGTGTTGGGGTCCAACCCAGGTCCTGTCCAAGCATCCTTGGCAGGCACCCTTCCTGCTTACTCCCTGGTCCCCATTTATTTATTTTTAAAGGAGTGGTAGACTTGAGATTGACTAGTAGGGCTGTCTTAAATAAAGTGCAAAAAGTGATTTAGAAATAAATGTGTAGGGATGTGAAATGATTAGCAAAGGCTTCTACTTTACCGGTCATCCTGTTTTTTCTGCCAGTTTTTGTCAGTCTCACTTCCTGGTTATGGAAATTGGTGCTTAGTGAGAGGCTTGGGTTCAGACTGACACCCTCAAGAAGGTAGTCTGGGGTGATGTCTCTCTCTGAGTGTGGGTATGGAACCCAGGGTCTCACTCATGCAAGGTCATAGCTCCACCCCTGAGCTACAGCTGCAGCTTTGGGTGGTGTCTCTTGACATGAGCACTGCTTCTTCTCTCCCCTGCTGCAGGCGGTAGTACTGACTTCCTCTGTTTTACTGTAAATGGGAAGGCCTCTGAGTTTGGCATCCTGCAAATAGAAATAAACACCTTCATTCTGTTTCACATAGAAGTGTATTAATTAGGCGGTAGCATTTGTGCTCTACTACAGCAATTAGTTGGCTGTTGGCCCTCTTGTGATATCTTACCTCAACTCTAGCATGCATTACTTTCGTTTCAAGGATTCTCTCTGCTATTAAGCCGTTGAGGCAAAAAATTTTTTTTCCTCTTTTGGTGTCAGGCTGTGGTTTAATAACCATTTGTGAAAAGCAGAGAACTAGTTGACCACAAGATCCAGCCTACCAAAATCTTCCATTTTTAAGTGGCAAAGAAGGGCTTTGGCCAACATCATGGTCGACTCCACGGAGAATCCCCACGTTTTGGGCTGTTATCACCACACATCCATCTTTCTCTTGGTTCAGTAGAGCTTTCAGGGACACAGCCTATTGTGGCACGTGTGTCATCAATTCGGCACCATTGCTCAGTATCTGGTAGGTATAAATTAGCATTTATGTCTTCCAAACACTGTTCAGACAAACGGTGTCCTCATTTTATATCTGGAAGAACTAAGGCATCGAGTTATTTGTAACTTCCCTAAACTCTTCAGCTAGCAATTTAACACCACCCAGCAAACATGTCTTGGGTTTCTGTCATAGGTAGTAATTTCTTAGGGCTTTGTGTGTGCCGAACTCAATTCAAGTGCTCTGTGGATTTATCAACCTTGTGATATGTCGGTGTCGATCCCGGCCGGCAGGAAAAAACACACGACACGAGTAGTCGGCGGATAGCCTCTGATTTATTTTCTCTCTCCGTACGCCCTGTTCCGGGATCTCGGATCCCGCCTGAGGGAAGCCTCCTCTGGTCCGTTCCCTACGGCTCCTTGTGTGTTTCTCTCAGCAGTCCCTCTTCTTGGTGTGTGTTCTCGCCCCAGGGGTGGTGTCAGCATATATATGGACACATCGACCAATCACATCAAAGTAGGCAAGACGAGCTGATTGGCCAGCGTCAGCTGTTGCTGGGCAGACTAGCTTACAGGGCGTGTTGTTTACTAGCTAGGGAGCAGGAAATGGGCGCCATCTTGGCATACTCGATGGGAGGGGTAATCTAGCTCAGGCTTCACTCCTCACCACAGGCCTCATATCACTCGGTCGACGGGAGGGGCAATCTAGCTCAGGCTTCACTCCTCACCACAGGCCTCATATCACTCGGTCGAGCTCCCAACATCTCCCCCTTTTTTATTTATTAAGATAGTGTGGTCTGTGGGTCCATGTGAGGTGTCTGGGAGTGGGCCTATTTCGCAGGCCGAGGCATGAGAGAATGTAGAGGTCTATACCCTGCTGTGCATCACCTTGTCTCGTACATATCCTTGCGCCAGGACCATGCTCAAGGTGAGTGGTTCATTTTTTCGCAGGGCCAGGCTTTTGTGAACCGAACCTGGATGCATATAGACATTCATTCCTGCCTTCCCCTCAACCCTCGAGGCGGATGGCACTGCAGTACCCTTGGTCTCGCATCTCAATGCCATAACTCTCACTCCCTAGAGGACCCTCGGAGTAGAGCCTGTCTTAGGTTGATCAGGAGAACTTCTCCCGTCTTACCCGTCGTTGGCTTGCCCACTCAACTCTTAAAGCTTATATCTTGGGGGAGACACGGAGGGGTCAGCCGAGTGACATTTGAGGAACCGCGTAATCACTAATTACCAACCATAATCCCCGTTCACTACAATCACTAATTACTATTTTCTAATTATCAATGGGAACACGCCTTAAGCGTGGGGTCCTTCTAGTCTAAGTTCGCAGCCGCGACGGGGAAGGAGACGTACGTAATAATACTAGAACATCCGTAAGAATAATGGCGAGGGCAGCCACGTACTGGTTAAAGGAGCCGTGCCTTTTTAGCCTGAGCCCAGAAAACGCTAGGTGTGGAATCCCCTTGACTCTGGGCCAGCAACATCATCAATGTCATATGTGTCTTTTGGGTCGCCCTTATCGACCGCAGGCACCTAAGAGTCACGAGAGTGACAATCACAAGAGCAAGAATGATCCCATACGCAAGAAGTGACGAAGGTTTGAAGAAGGAGCCTATCTGGCTTAGGACATCATCAAAAAAGGAGGCTGTAAGTATAGGCACCTCTATCTGATCTAGCTGCCGGATAGTCATATCCAGGCGCACGCTAGCGTTCCAAAAGGAAGAATTATAGGTGGTGAGAACATAATCCTGAAATTGCCTGTAAGCCGAACGGTTGACCTGGATGGGGGTAACGCACAACTGGGTGAATGCCCATCTGGCGTCACATAAATTGTTAGCCACCTCCCAGAGTCCCTGGACTTTCTGAGCGATTAGGTCGATCTGCTGCTGTAACGCCATTATGGCGTTGTGCTGGAGGAGGTTGACTTCTTGTTGCTCCCTCAGCGCCAGGGAGGTGGTGTCCGTAAGATTGGTAAAGGCCTGAGCCGTCAGCGTAGACTGGGTCAGAGCAACGGCAGCCGTCACAGCCGTCGCAGTCAGAGTCACGAACAGTGCTGTCAGGGCCGCTGTGATCCCAAAATCTCTCTTACGTCTGAGCATGGGTAGTTGGTCCTGCTGATAGACGGGATGAACCCAAACAGATTCGTTAAAGGGAACCCACATCAGTGGGGGTCGAAGAGCCAACATAGCATACGGGAAAGACCCATTCCAGCAGTTCCCTGTAAAGCATGGTTGGTTACTGCACTTAAAGGAAATGTCAGCAGAGAATACCCATAAGTAGGGCGGTTTTACGCATGCAGCCTCAGAATTAAGGGTGACATTGGTGGTTCCATTAGAGGCAGAAGCGTTAATAGCGAGCATGGGTCTTAAGTCCATGCAGGCTCCGGTGGAGAGGCACAACCAATTTTCATTAAGGGGGAAGGGGAAGCTTATTGCCCACTTGTTGTTCACTCTCAGGTAGGACTCCCACCAGGTCAACGCGAATATGTTGTTACTACCGGATGGAGGAGAGAACCGGGACCACCAAGACATGTTTAGATGAGTCACTCCCACGCCGTCGACAGTACAGGGCTGCCATGAAAGTTGTGACAGGTCCACCATCTGTCTTTTTCGGCTTGGGGACACACGGTATGGGCATGTGGGGAAATCGGGACGGGTGTGCATGGCTGCTCGGGGTTTGCAGGTTGAGTTAAAAGTGATGACTCCGCTGCTAAGTGTGCCAGCTTTAAAACATCCAGGCGAATGCAGGGATGGGACAGACAACCTCACCGTCAGGGAGGTATTGTACCATTTTACAAGGAGGGGCAGGAAGCTAACGCAGGATCCCCGGTGACACGAGGGGTTACTATTAGTGGAAAAAATGACCACGTCATTGGTGATGGGAAGGTCAAAACGTATGGGTCTGATGGTTAACGGTATATCTGGTATGCAAGGCAATCTGGCGGAGCAGTTTTTTGCATACAACTTTGGGAGAGAGGGGGCTGTGGTG